GTAAGTAAGTTCTATTTGGTCTATTAGAACATATATATAATATACAGATTATAAGTATAAGTAATTACCTTATTAGTACCCAGTTTCCTTACAATTTTTATGGCGAACATAAGTATATATAAGTATATCATTATGAATACGTACAAATAATGTATATGATCTATGAATATCACCAGCTTATCCCTTAAGCCTCGAGAAAGAAATTAAGGAATTGGAAATTAATTATAATAGTTTAAGTTAGATAAGTGTCAAGGAGAATTAAAGATGTATATTACAAAAGGTAAATGTTCTGTAAGGTAGTTAGAGCATATATTATTAAGTATAAATTAGTCCGGCTTCCTTAAAAGAATAATAAGGGAACGTGTCTAAGTTAGGTTATTCTTATAAAAACGTATAATATACTATTGAGAATGTATTATAACTTAATCATGACTAATAGCACAGCTAAATTACTCTCTAATTGGTTCCCAATTCTCCTTACCTCCTTCTTCTATTATTCACAGGGATTCTTCTACTTATTTATAGTTTTACAATTGTGCATGTAATTGCAACATCTTAACATATATGTAATTATGACACCCAATCCCCTTATAAGTGGGAGAGACAATTCGAATATAGCTATATCGGCTATATATATATATGCTCAAACGTAATCCTAGATCATAGATCTGTCTGCTTACAGAAAGAATGCGTTTTAGAGATAATCATGTTACACATTTTGCTTCAAATGTTTATCTTTACGCAAAAGTGTATATTATGCGATACAATGTTCTAAATATAGAGATACGATGCTAGTTTTTATCGTTTGATTCATAATTGACTAAAGAATCCAATAATACAATCAATTGAACCAAATCCTTCAAGCCCACGAATGAAATTGAATCCTCTTGATATTTCCCGGACTGTATCTGTTTGTTTTCAATTAATACATCTCTCTTCATCACACCAACAACCAATCTATCGAAATGATGCAATAAGTCCTTTGCTTGTATTATGCTAGGTTTATATGATGGTCCCATTGATAATAAGACAGCAGAGATTAATTGAAAGATTGGAACTAAGAATTCAAAAAACGAAATTTTGTTGTCCTTCTCAGACGTATGATGTTTGTTCACGTCTATCAATGAAATTGGAGTATCGAGCGATAAACTAATGTAAATAGATTTATTATTACCACCCAATTCATTGATCTTCAAATCTAAGCCCAAATCAGGATCAATTGACAAAAACTTACATTGCTTGATAATGGAAAAGATTTCGTTTTGAATGAGCTGTGACGATCCAAGCCTAGTTTGAGCAATTCTTATTAAGAAATACAATGTAGATTTAAACGCAGTTAATTCATACAACAACGTATCAATTCCATTTTTCAGTGAACTAGATTCAGAATAATGAGAAAGCATCTCATCAGTTCTTTTTATTGACCTCACAAGTAAGGATAACGAATTATTCTTGATCATCAATTCTAATATAAAATTAACCTTATTGCTTGATGATAAGTGTATCAATGATTCCAATAATAATAATGAAGTAATTCTCGGAGCGCCTTCAGCACAAATCGAATCATTACTAATAATATCAATAAATTTCGAATCAATCAGCTTAATTATTATTATTATTTGCTTTATTAAATCACTATTTTTAAATGATTTTTGCAAGAACTTGTTCACCAAAACATATAAATCAGACCTCAAATCAGGTGTCGAATTTGAGCTCATTATTCCATTAATACAGGTTTTAAATAATGGTATCAATCTATCGATATATAAAGATACTTTATCATTTTCTTGTGTTACCGACGAACTTTCTTGTTCGTATAAATCAAATAATAAGACACATAATGAAATAAATTCCTCGGAAAATGAAATGTCTTGGCCCAAATAATCGTTGATCTTTGGCAATATGATTTGAAAAATTTCCAAAATTAGGTTTGATTTCCTGGTTAATGACATATCTCCATCACTAACTAAGACTTGGATCAATTGCGTCCACGAATGTAAACACGATAGTTGAACATTCTTTAATTCAATGGAGATTATATATTTCGTCAAAAATTCGGTAATTTTGGAACCTTCATCCATAACTTCTTGCGAGAACGAAATTTTTGATTCTTTGTTTTGTAATTGGCCATTTGCATTTTTACAAATAATTTTATAAAGATTTTCAAGAACTGATGTATCTAATACGTGCGTCAGTAACTTATTCTTGGTCATTTGTTCTAATATCAATGGTAAATTGTATTTCCCATTAAAAAGCTCATATTTATGGATCTCAAAATTAAAAAATTTGAAATTCAAAACATCGAGAAAGTTCAAGATTTTGGGGGACCCGTTTAAGAACTCATTACCATTTAGCAACAAGTCGATATAAGAATCCTTTTTAATAATTGCTCTCTGTTGAGAGATATTAAGAAATTCTAATGATAAATACTGCAAGATTAAATTTCTATGGTTAATGAAGGAAAGCAATGCCCTAGGAGCCAATGAATCTTGAACAAAACTATTCATTTTACCATCTTGTAAATCTCCTTGAAACTTAGCATTAGACCATATCGTATTTGGATCTATTTTAGGCTGGCAATCAATCAATTTAGCAAACAAATCATTTGATTCTAAGTTGTAATTCCGCAAATAATTCAATGTGATATTGGAAGAAATTGGATCATGGCATAGCTTAACAAAAATTTCTAGGATCTTCGATGATAATTCAGCAGGGGCCGCATCGATAATATGAATGTTCCCATTATTATAATCAATTTCAGAAATTAAATCTAAGCTTGAACTTAAAGATTTAAGTAATGATTTTAATAATGTATTTTTTGACCTTGAATCATTCAAAAACAAATTACCACCCCGTATTTCATAACCCAATAAGAAGTGTGATACTCCCGGTTCTCCAATAGATTGCTGTAGGTTATCAATCAAAAATTGTAATATACTAAACTTAACTTGTAAATCATTGTAATCTTCAATATATCTCTCTATTTGCTGAATAAATGAAAATTGTATTTTAACAGACTCATCGATACTTTCAAAGACTGTTAATAACCTATTTTTATTTAACAATGGGTCAACAGAATTATGCTCCACTTTGGCAATAAAAAATGGCGACAAACTTATTTTATGTAAAATTTTTATAGCTGAGTGTGCAATGCTTAACTGAGGTGAACTAACATATAATGCAAAATGGGCTATAGTTGCTAGATTGAATAGAAATATTTCGTAGAAGTCCGATATTCCATTCGTGCCAATACTCTTAGGATAATAAATATTATCATAAACGCTTTTGGGCGAAGATAATGCCAAACTCATACTTGTACCGAAGCCTGCCGAACTGGAGCCACTAAATGATTGAATCTTTTCACTTTTTAAAATAGGTAATAATCTATGAATAAATGTATCTTGTACTTCCAATACCTTATCAAGAATTGTCAAACATTTATCAACCAATATACTTAAGCCTTCGTTCTCGTTGATCGATTCCGTTCCAATACTTATAATATTGAAAAGTGACTTGTAAACTTTTTCATCAAATAAATAATTCAATACAGCTAAAGAATGGTGTAATTTAATGAATAATTGATAGGTAATTGGATTGCTTGGAGACAAGGAGTCAACTATGTTATCTAAATTTTTCAAGTTGTTAATTATATTAGGAGCAACATCATTTAGGAAAACCCAATCTATTTCGCTTAGTGAACTTTCAATTAAACTAATCAATGATAATTGCAAGTTATATTGATCATTTTTATTAGGCAAATCATCTGACTTTGAAAAAACCTCAAACAATAAATATTCGACATAAGGCCAAATACCGATCTGATTATTATAACGATATCCGGCTCCCAAATCAGCGGGATATAGTAATTTATAAGACGTGAATGCCTTTTGAGATTCTGTTTCGAGTGGCTTTAATAGATGGCCTATTAATTTCGTGAAATTTCCAACGAGAGAGAGACGAGTCAAACAAAACTGAAACCCTTTTCTCATAGTAACAGTGCGTTTATTTGGATATTTTAATCTCGATTGAGATTGTATATTATTTGACATACCGTTTAGTGAACTCGATAAGTTAATCAAATTACCGCCACCATATTTACTATTGTTAGTCTTCGTTGAATCACCTTCGTTCATACTTTGCGATATCCAGCGGTCGATTATATTCCAAACTTTATACTTTATTGTTAAATTTTCCTCATTATTGACAAAATCGGTCAATAAGTTTAGCAATAGGTTAACAAGAATGACTCTATTATCGTCATTAACTAAAACATTTAGAGAATCTGTTGTTTTAGAATTGTTAGAGCCATTGGACACTGAAAACGAATTATTACTTGACTGAATACTTCTTGTAACAGTGATTATATTATCAAATTTCAAAAATGAACAGATTATAGGACTGAATCTAGTAAAAGCTATATTCTTGATTTCCTTGGATCTTTCATTTGATGAAGATAAATTTCCAACAATCGAGGAAATTAATTGCATGAACCCCGAAATGAAAACCACTGAATCCTCAGATAATTCAATTAACACCTTATTTAATGGATTATTGTCTGATTCATTAGTGTTATCTGTATTATTGAACGACGAAGAAAATAAGAATTCTTGCCTTTTTTGTTGTAGTTTAGCTTGATAATTCAAATCCTGTTCAAAGTTTTCATTCAAGGATTCGATATAATAATTTAACGAGTCAATAATGGAATCAATTGATATTTTAGAGAAATCACTTTTTTTCAAAGTACCGCTAGCATTGGTTGCTGAACCATTGTTATTAACTAAAATCTCCCATATTTTAATAGCAGCCTCATCGCCACTTGATGTTAGTGATCCTAATAATAAACAAAATGTCGCAGAAATTAATGGAGAAGTATTGTTGCTCAATCCCCAAGTAACAAACCCTATTATATCATTTGTTATTTCATCGTTAGACCAAAATAATGAGCACAATTCTTGTCTATTATTATAGGTGTATACAAATGCCAAATAGAATCGTTCTAAGTCAGATCGAGTTGCAATTTCATCTAAATCAATACCCTGGTCATTACCATTTGATTTAATGGGCGAAAATTTTTTAGTGTCATTCCTATCACTATCCTTATCGTTATCAATACCTTCATCGCCTTTTGAAATCTTTTCATCATTTTCTAATTGTTTTTTATTGATTGATGATAATAGAAAATCTTCTTCGTTATCTCTTAACAGCGTTAGTATAATTGCGGCATTACTTATAAAATTATTAAAGAAAATGTGGAAAAATGGGGCTAACAAATTTTGGTTAAAATCTTCAGATACTTTATAATTTGAAACATCGAGTAATTTGTTTATATTTTCAAATTCCTGTGGCTTCAAATTCACCAAATTAATTAAATCGTCAGAATTAGTATAGATAAATTTAGCAGGACTTAGACGAGGAAAATTCGTTTGTAGTAACGATCTAAAATCGTACAAATTACTCCAATCCAATAATTCTGTTGTTTTATAATTGGAAGTGTCAGCTGCATAACATAACAATACTTCTGTAACCCCACAACTTATACACATTTCAATATATCTTAAAATATCGTCCTTGAAATCAATCGAATTGGTGCGTGATTCTGATTGTTTACACCATGGAATGAAACAAGTCAACATCATGAAATTCAAAACCATTTCGAATCCCTTTAAATTAGATTTTGATAAATCTACAGATTCCTCTGACACAACTTTATCATATTCGCTGCTCAATCTTGTTACAACTTGCTTATGAAACTGGAAAACTTCCAGCTCTGGCATCTCAGACAAGTTTGTAATGAACCTCAATAAACCTGGCAAATAATGAACAATAAGGATATCATTATCATGTATAGTTTTGCTAATATGATCGACAATCTTCTCATAATACTTTAATGTTCCAAACTGTTCGAAATAAGTATCCACCAAACTAAAATATATTTGTCCTAAAACTTCATGACTATTAAATAATTGGGACTTAATGTAATTTATGGTGTTAATAAACGATAAGTTATTTATATCATCAGTTACTTTCTGTTTATCAATTAAGTCATTTATTCTTTCTAGAATTTCATATACCTTTTGAAGACTCATTAATAGATTGCTAAAGAATTCATCATAGTTCTCATTTACAACTAAGTGCAAATTCTTACTAGAGATCAAATAGCCCAATATATTCAATATTAATTGCAAACGGGTGAAATATGCCAACCTCCCACTATCAATGAATGTTGTCCCTTTTTCGTAACTTAATTTAGTGGACTTATATAATAGCTCGGCCGTTAACACTTCATCGATATTTAGTTCTGTAGACAAGTAAATCGATGATTCAATAAATTCTTTATTTAATCTGAACTCGTCGCCATTACTAAACTTTACTGGATTTGATTCATCAATCAATTTGTTTCTAGATATATCACTCTTCGAAGGTATATTCAATATATGGAATAAATCATTCCTTATATTATTTAACAAGTAGAGGTTTAGTTGATCTTGATATTTAATTGAATTGTAGCAATCCACAAATATATCAGTAGACCAATTTAAATCAGTGTTAGATCCCGTCATTATATTATCTATATGACTTCTTTCAAAACCTTCGATTTACTTGTACCTCCTTTTGTTAGTGGTGAAGGATTAAAATAAAATTTTGTTTACACTTCAAAACTACTCGGCTCGACAATTTTATCCTGTATATAATGATTACAGCTATTATTACAGAGGATGAAGTAGAATACTTAGTGAATTATCGTCATAATTATAGTGGCATATTTATATTTAACCTAAATATACATGTGCTTAATGTTTTCTAGATCAGAAGCTTTCAGCTCACACAACTGTGTAGGCTAATAAATAAGTTAGGACATTCCAATAAACACACCATCTTGATGGCACATAGTCAAATGCGAACTCTTCCTTGGAGGATATTCTTCACAGAAACTACCCAAGTTAGGGAACATTTGTATTAACCTAACAACAATATAAGAAGCTTCTGTTAATGCAAACTGCTGGCCTAAGCAAATTCTTGGGCCACCGTTGAACGGT